AAAACCAATGGCCTCCCATAAATCTCATTTAACAGTTTCCCCCCTTGGTCAGGCTCTGCTTAGGACATCAGCACTGCTCTGAGTCACCGTCACCTGAGTTTTTAGCCTCCCAGCATTCATAGGTTATAGTGTCCTCATTCTCACGCATTTCTTGGAGGTTGTCATTCTGGCCAGAGAAAGACCGTTGAGCATTGAGCAGATGGCTGCGTGTGGGCATTTCAGACTGAGAGGATGCAGTGCACAGGGAGACACTGTTGTGACTATCAGGAGGACAGTTTGGAGTGTGCTTTTAAGCCCCACAACCAAACCCACTAAAATCAATACATCAGAGAATGAGCCAAGCAGCCTGTTGGTTTTATTTATCTCCATGGAAGAGGAAGTGTTGGCAGTACACAGATCGTGCCCTGCTCAGCCAGTAAGTAATCTAGCATCCCTTGGCTGAATTAAATTAAAGCAGGGAGTGAGAACAAGTGGGTCTACAAGTCAGTCTGTGAAGGACCACTGGAGCAAACAGTTGTGTTAGGGATGTTGCTAAAGTTGGCCAATGGGTGGACTGAAGGATCCCTTAGGTCATGGACAGAGCCTGTTTTTTGCCTGCCACATCCCCTTTTGAATGGGGCGGTCTACATGGCTTCCTGTCCCTACCTTCTGCGTAGGGTGAGGAGGAGGGGCCAGGTGCCTTGCCTCTTTAGGTCACAAGTCTTTGGGTTGAGACGGAACCACCCCCAGGGGTCTCATCCACACTGGACCTGGTCTAGACTGTGAGGTTCTGGAGCTCCAGCTGCCGTCATGGGATGAGGCCTGGGGAGCCCAAGTGAGTTTACTTTGCCTGTGCTTAGGGCACAGCCAGAAGGCAGAACGTGTTTTCCTAAATTGGCCACATCTACCGCCCTTCCGGCTCTTCTGCACTACGGCCTCCCCATTTCTCCATCAAGGAGTGAGTCCAACCCCCTCCCTCACCACCTGCCTGTCTAATGACCGGATGTGACCCAAGCGTCACAGCATGACTTCACGACTTCTCGGTGAGGCTGGAAAAGTCCATGTAGCCTCCACCTGGTTCCCCAGGGATGCCCCCTCATCCCACAAAAGACAGCTCCCAGGTAAGAAGTCAGACCATCCTGAGACCACCTTGGCCATGAGGCCACAGGTAGGCAGGCACTCCAGTCAACAGTCCCACCTGAGTCCAGCCTTCCAGCCGACCCCACCAAGACACCAGGTACCTGGGTGCAGCCACCACAGACCCTCCAGACTAACTCAAGTGCCAGCTGAATACCACCAACAACCTCAGTTGACACCACATGGAATACAAGAATAGCCCAGCCCAAATCCGGACCTGCAGGACTTGTGGGATCTAATAATATTGTTAGGTAGACAGCAAGCCACCTCTGTCCCTCCTGGGGACAAAGGCGGGCACCCTGAGCAATTGCCACACCTGGGGGAGGAGGGGACGTTCTACAAATCCGCCAATTGGAACTTATCACGCCAATTGCAAAAGAACCTGGGGGTTCCCTAGCTGGGGGCCAGGCTGCACAGGCACAGTAGGGTCTGGAAGGTGACCTAGGACAAACTAGGGCTCATTATCCTGTCATTAGCTTAAATCTACATTGCGGTTCACCCCCCAGTGGGCTTTCAAATGGGCTCGTGGAGATCCGCATGTGCAGTAAGACTCAGGTTACATAACTCCCAATGTCCATCAAAGTGGCAGGGGTGACAGGTGACATCTGAACCACAGGGAGGGCCCAATCCAGACCTCATAAAACAAGACCCCGGACCATGCCCCAGGCCTTTTTGGTATGACAACCGTCCCGCTCCTCGTTCTTTCCATGGAGAAGGTCTCTTGCTCTCACTCTGTAATCCTGTCTTTCTCTCCTCAATAAACCTCGTTTCGTGCTTTCGGAGTGTCTGGTCATTCTCCAGCCAAGAGCACACCAAGAACCGACATTTCAGACTGCTGACCCGACAAAATGGGTTTTGTTTTTAGCCACTATGTTTTGGAGTAGTTTGCAATAATAGCAACTAGAACATTCTGCCACACAAGAAAGTGTCTTTTCTACATGTGTGGTGCAGGAGGACACAGGGCCCTGGCTTTTGTGCGGGGGAATTTACATCTGTAGGAACGCAGCCAGGTCTGTCCAGAAAAGAGTCTGAAACACTCGCCTTCTATTCCCTCTGGGTGCTGCCACCCCTGCTACCTACTCCAGCCTCTTCCTCCTTCCGGCCCAAACCCTGTTTTTCTGCTTTCAAGCCCCAATTCTTTAAAGGCCTCTGTACCTCACTGAAGAGTTGAATCTTCGTTTTCTGAGGGGAGGGCAGATAAGTGCAGGTGATTCTGTTCACAGGTGACAAGTGGTGCTGGGGAGGAGAAATGGATGGGGAGATAGATTGACTTGCAAACGACTCTCCTAGCAAATTACATTAACCTGAGAAGTTTTTTATTGAAAGGATTCGGGCCAGGTCTGGTTGCATTCTTGGCCCTCCTTCCTGCAATCTATTGAGACGACAGGAAGAGGAAGGGAAATCAGTTGCCCCCTTTGATCTTTTGGTTGGTCACTTTATGCAGATAGAGGGAAAGCCCCCTCCAGTGCATTTTTGATCTCAAAGGGCCTGTAATTCAAAATATCCTTTATACCAAGGAGTTGTATTTGGGGGTGAAACTTCCTGAGCCCTTCCCATCCCTGCCACCAGCAGCAAGGTCAGCGTGGCCTTAGTTTGTCCTCTGGGGTGAAATGTGTGCACTCTCTCATCCCCGTCAGCTGGGTCTTCTGTCTTAGCACCTGAACTCAGTCCTTGTCCTTGTGCCACAGTCCCCGAGGGGGCCTCAGCCCCATCAGCCTCGCCTGGGACAGGGGGTGGGAGGGCAGGCCTGAAGCTCAGGTGAGCAGAGCCCTGTGAGTAGAAAAGAA